CGGATAGGCGGAAGAAAATGGATGGATGGATGGATGAGAAAATGGATGGATGGATGGATGGATGGATGGATGGATGGATTTATTTTCCTATAAAAACAGTATATATGAAAAATAGTTTCAGCAGATTATAAACCTTTTTATATTTGTGGCTTTATGTCTATATTTTACACCCACACACGTAACTTTAAAGCAGGTGTCAAACTCAAGGCCCGCGGGCCAAATCTGTCCCTCATTAACATTTTATCTGGCTCCAAAAGTAATATTTTTAAATGTTTCTCTTTTTGTCACTGTACTTTGTGCAGTTTTTTCTCAACAGTAATTGATTTTAATTCTGTATTCTTTTCTATTTTATAAATTAAATATTTGTATTTTTTTCTGCAGGTTTGTGTTTTTAAACTGATTTTCTGGCTGTGATCAGATGTATCTCTAAGAATTAGTGAATCACATACTTGTAAATACAGAGTAAAGCCAAATAAAATAATTGCTAATGAAGAGTATTTCTAAATGTAATCTTTTTTTTCTTTGTTAGGGTATGATCTAAATGCTACATAAAATGTTATTTGAAAATCTGAATTTGTATTTCTATAAGAATAATTCGTTAAAACCAAGATATTTTTTCAAGAAATATTGACGGAAATTGGCCCTTGTCTTTGACAAAATTTAGAATTTTATGTCCCTGTGTGCAACTGAGATTGACCCCCCTGCTTTGAGGCACATCAATTTATATTTATAGATCTACAACTGATCACTTTTCTGTGGTCACAAGACCACAGAAAACTCCACAGAGCAGACAGAGTGGGCCAGATCTGGGAACAAGGTGGCACTGCCAGCTGTTGGCTGGCACAGCAAGTGGCTTGACAACATGATGTGGYCCAGATGTGGCAATGAGGGCACTGTTTTTAAGATGCCAAAACTGGCCCAGTTGTGTTTTGGTTTATGTGGTGCTGGCCCATGTATGGACCACCTTTGGCAAACCACATCCAGGCCACCAAAGTGCCGTCATTCTATGCAGCATCTGCACTGAGTATTAGACTGTTTAGTTCATTATCTGGGCCAGACAAATTTTCATCCAATATGTGGATCTAAACGTTACAAAAATCTGTCAACTCTTCAGTTTGTCTGATTTCTGATTGTCCACTCGCTGCAACATGTGAACCGRTTTGATTCTCAGGCTCAAAAGTCTGACCTGTTCTCATGTTTTTCAGTTTTTCTCAGACAAACACCTGTATCTGTTTAGACTTTGGACCATCTCAATAATAGTTCTTCTCTGCATCATGTGATTTCTAGGTTGTTGGGTTCAGTCTCACTTATAAACATCTTAACACTAAACTGAAGTCAACAGTCCCATAATTTCATTGTATAAATCTACAGTTTCAGCTTTAAAGTTAATAACCTCCACACGATTGGGCCAAAGGTTGTTTTGAAGTCACCTTTCTTGCTTCCTTGCTATCTACCTACTTCCTCCCTACCTAAGTTTGAGTCTTTCTTCCTTCCTACTTGTGTTCTTTTACTTGTTCCTTCTTCTCTACCTATATTTTTCCTTCCATCGGCATGTTACTTTTTTCTTTTTTTATCCTCGTTCTTTCTTTTTTTTTTCTTTCTTTCTTTCTTTCTTTCTTTCTTTCTTTCTTTCTTTCTTTCTTTCTTTCTTTCTTTCT